TAATCAATTAATTAGGACACCTAAACCTCCTAATTAATGAATTAAGTCCAACCACCCTAAACCTCTCAAATCTGCCACCCTCTCTTTCATGACTCACCAATAACTTTCCACTCACCCAAATTAAATTAAGCCATTTGTACACCTATTTAGCTATAAGGAAATGAAGAATATATATATAGAAATGGAGTGCATGGCTACCATTTTGTTGGTCCAAAACCGTAGCTCACAAACAAGAGAGAAAATAAAAGTGAGAAAGAGTGAAACGACAAAAGAGGAAAGGAAAGGAAAAAAAAAGAAAAAGAAAAGAAAGAAGGCAAAGCCAAGGAAATTCTAACCTAATCTAATTAAGTGGGTTTCTTTGGTTTATTTATGCTTTTACATGCTCATTTTTATGTGTATAAGTTAGGTATTGGTTGAGTTGTTTGTGTATTGTTGAGCTTGATTTGTGTTGGTGGTCGTTTGATGTCTTAACTTGCTCTACTTGTGGATGTTGTGTAGGTGATGAATTGTGATGTTTATAATGCCTAGTGCATGTCTAAGTATGTGAAAATGAGCTGGATTGGACTTGGAATGAAATTTAATTGGACTAAAACATGGTTAATGTGAGTTGGAATGAATGGCCAAATCGGTGTTATTGAGGAGTAGTTTCTATCCAACTTTGGCATTGCCTATTCAAGGACTTTAGAATGATTTATGAGTGAACCTCAAAGAATACAAGTTTTTTTTTTTTATCTATGTCTTGAATAACTTCTTGTAAAATATTTTCATTATTAGGTTTATATAGAAAAGGTTATGCCCGTTTTAGTATAAACTGTGTCTGGGTGAACTATCGTTGGACGATTGAATCTTAAACTTCAAAATTATGTTATGAAATGTGTGTTTGGTATTTAAACCTAATTTTTGGATATGTTATGAATCAATATGTCTATTTTATAATAAAAAAGGATAAGATTTAATTATGCTCATAAATTGGTACGTGAACTACTTGATTAGAGGTTGCCTTATAATAAACCACAAATTGGATAGGAGGGGAAAATGAATTCCTAGAGTTTTGTCTAAAGAATCCTTTCAGCCTAAGTAAGAAAATGAATAATATTTGACCCATTTTATGTAATTAAGGTTATAGGACTCAATTATAATTTAATTAGGTATACATTAATAAGTTGAGATGAAAAAGTAATGTTTCCACTTTAAGGACCTATTCGGCTTAAACCCTAAACTGTGGGGATTTGGATTCCAATAATTCAATTCCATAATTAATGGTTCGAGTACACCCTAATAAGTATAAGAGGACGTTTAGATAGGAAAAATTACTAGGTAAACTGAAATTTTTACCAAGAACATTAAAAGCCTAATTCAGCCCAAAACGTCTAAATTTGGGTTCGGAGAAAAAAAAGAATGTCACCTTAGTATGTTTTAAACCGGTGTATGAACTATATGGGGATACCAGTTTAGGTTGGATATCGAGAATGAAATAATGATGTAGATATTGAGGACGAAATAACGATGTAGGATTTGATATCCAATATCCTTGATACTCGTAATTGTGGTATCATGTGCATCACGTGAATCAATGGGAAAGAAATAGGAACATAATCAATTAATTGAGAATGGAGTTGTATGAATAGGTTTGGTAACCTAATCAAATAAAAAGGGGTTAGCGATCCAAGTTGTGTGCGTACTCTAAGCTATGTGCCAAGACTCGTTAGGCAATGGATTCCCATTAGCAATGGCTACAACGAGGGATAATTTCGTTATTAGCGTTCGAGTGATTCGGTAATCACTTATAGAGTAGATCGCTAATACGCGGGGTACTCGGAATTAAAAATTAATGAGAATGATGGGAAGTCGGAAAAGCATTGCATATCATGTGCATCACCCCACTTACCGAGCTTCGGCTTACCTCATTTATTATTTGTATGTTATGACGAGTAGCGGTGATCGTACTACCAATAAGGATGCTCGTCGAATCTCCAAAAGGGCTCGGGGGTGACATAAACCTTAGAGGATTTTATTTTGTTTATAAATTTTAGGGTTGGGGTGTCGAGGAACATTTTGATGGCGTTGTAAATAAATTTTATAATTTCTTCCATCGTATTGTTAATATTATGTAAATTATTTTGTACGCATTTCATGGTATAATAAATCCTTAACGTATGAGCACGTACGTTTCTAAGGTTAATTCGAAGACTAGTCGTGTCAACGTGACATATCTCGCCTAGTTATTCCTATTTGGGTAATAGAGAGTGAATCGGGGTGAGGGCGTCACACTTTACTTCTAAAGTTAAACTTGCTTTTGTTATATGGTCTAAGATAAGGATAAACTGCATAACCAAAGGTCCTATTTTCTAAGTAGTTCGAGTGGCTTGTGATGTAAAAATTCATAGGGTACCATTTGTTTTAGACTTATACTAGGTAGATTGTTTATAGCATGGACGACATTAATAAAAGCATAATGCCGGTACCTAAAAGGAATTGATGCATGAGCAAGTAGTGTCGATCTCCGTGTCAACGATATGCCTAATTTTTCTTTCGGATAACCATTTTGGTCATGTGTATAAGGACATATAATTCAATGAATGAAGCCTTTTTCCTTAAAATACAAATTTAATTTTTGAAACTCTCCTCCCCAATCTGAATGAAAAGCTTTTATGTCCAAATTAAATTGCAATTTTACATAAGACTCAAAATTTTTAGAAACAATAAAAAAGTCACTCTTATTCATTAATGGAAAAATCCAAGTAAAACGAGAATAATCATCAACAAATAAAATGAAATATTTAAAACCTAAATTGCTAAGCATAGGAGCTGGACCTTAGACATCGGAATGGATGATTTCAAAAGGGTTACAACTAGTATGCTCAGCAAACGCAAAAGGCAACTTTGCCATTTTTCCGAATTTACAGGAGAAACAAACTAAAGAACATTTTAAAGGACTAGAAGTAGGTAATTTATTATCAGCAATTATTCTTGAAACTGTTTGCACCTGTGGATGACTTAGCTTATCATGCCACGTTTGGAAAGATGCACATTCATTCAAAAAGGCTTGGGGCTTGTTAGGATTAAGTTCATACAGGCTTGCATTAGTCCTGCCTTGCAATATGATTTCCTTGTTCCATCGATCCTTAAATAAAAAATACGAAGGTGAAATTCAAAGTAACAATTATTGTCTTTGGTAAACTGTTGAATGGATAACAATAATTTAGATAAAGAGGGAACATGAAGAACATCCTTAAGCATCAAGTTAGTATTTTTAATGGAAGGATGAAAAACCATACTAGTATGAGAAATTGTCATTGATTGTCCATTACCAATTGTGACTTGATCCCCTCCTTTGTATGCTTGTGGTTCAACTATTGTGTGAAGATTTGATGTCATGTGTTGTGTTGCACCTATATCAGGAAACCATGCTTGATATGGGGGAGGGATCATGTTCTGATTTGGTAAAGCAGGCGGATATGTAGGATATCCTTGATATGGCGATGAAGCATAAGTAGATTGCCATACGATATGTGCTTGTGGGCGAGTAGATTATCTAGGAGCATACCGTTGTCTACATGCATCAGCAGTGTGATTATGATAACCACATATTTGGCATTTTCTTTTATTGTTGGATCACCAAAAATTGTGACCTTGATTAATCATGAAAGTCGACTGTGATGATTGTTGGAAGTATGGCCGAATTGTAATATTTTCCATGGGAGAAGCTTGATAGCTTTTCAACATAATCACATGGGAAAGCAATTGGCTCTACAACTCATTGAAAGAAATTGGATCAGCATGTAAATTTAATGCAAAAACAATAGGATGAAATTCAATGCCAATATTGTGATAAACAATCGCATTAAATTTAGCAGGTGAGATTGATCTTTCAGCAGCAGCTTACTCATCAGCCAATGATTTTGCCTTTTGAAGATACTGAGAAATACTTAGATCATTCCTTTTCAACCCTTGGAGTTCTACATAGAGTTGCAGTTGATGGTTTTGAGATACAGAACCAAAAGTACTTTCTAGTGCTTTCCATGCAGGAAAGGATGTATTGCAACTAATAATGTATGAATAAACCTCTTTAGATAGAGATGAAAAAAACCCATGCTAGCAATAGCTGGTCTCTTTTAAACCATCGTGCATAATCTAGATTAACAGAAGTTTCATTTGAATTTGTGGTTGAAGATCTTGTTGTGAGTGGAGCAGGTGAGCCATCAATTAAATTATTCATGCCATGGTAATTAAGAAGAGTAGCAAACTGGGTTTTCCATGCAAGATAATTTCGTAGGTTGAGTTTAATAACAAAGCTGTAAATAGTATTAGGAGTTGAGGTAGGTGTGGTTAAGGTAGAAGATACGGGAACAATTTGGTTAGCCATTAGCTCTGATACCATGTAGTTGTTTTGATTTAAAGGGTTTTCCACGACTCTGATTTCATTGTATTATGTCAATAGATATACTGCACATGAGTTGTAGTTTGTTACAGAGGATAGGCTAAGGATATACAATGTAACAAATAGATAAGAGACAAGGTATTAGCAGTTGTACGTGATAAGAAGTCTAGCTAACAAACGCAAGACAAGATCAATCAAAGATTAGCAGAGAAACATAATATATATATATATATATATATATATATATATAGCCTTGCACTGTAATTAGAAACATGAACAAGATATCCAATTTGCCAATACAACTTTATAATTAAGGCAAGTGACCGCAGTCACCATTGCAATGATACATATAGTTCCATAACAGACTGCGGGTTATTATCCACAAGGAGCCACGAAAAAGAACAAGAAAATACAGCTCTTGAAGCATGTGAAGGCATGATCAAGTTATTACTAAAATAAAAATGAAGTCCAACAAGCATCCACCAATCCTGCAAATAAGCATAAGAAAGAAAAGTAATACGGAAGAAGAACATAAACAAAAATGCAGAAGAAAACCATGGAAAGCAGTGACACTAAAAATACCTTATACAAGCAGGGACAAGATGGTTTTCATGGGAATTCAGTTACCGCGTCTCCTCCATGTGCGTCTTTGCCTTCGTTGTTGCCCAATCCAAAAAGACTTCATGAACCAATCATGTTTTCTTTTGGTTACGATGTGTCCCATAACCACTCCAACGACAAATCCACTTCCATACCCAATCGCAACAAATTTCCAGTCAAGTCTTAATGGTTCATCAGCTGGAGCCAGAGCCGGAGCAGTCAAGGCGTTGAGATTTCCACATTTCTTCGACAATGGCACCCCACAGAGTCCTGGATTTCCATCAAATGAATTGTTCTGAAATGTATTGAATTGATTTCCTCTTGGTATTGGCCCTGCCAGATGGTTATGAGACACATTAAAGATTTCCAGGAAAGTGAGCTGCACAAGTTGTTGTGGGATCTTCCCAGAAAGCCTGTTTTGAGACAAGTCCAATGCTTCAAGCTTTGCTAGATTTCCAATGGATGATGGGATGAAACCCGAGAGAATGTTGTCGGAAAGGTTGAGCAAACGAAGCCCCTTTAGATTCCCAATGAATTCTGGTATCTCTCCTTCGAATTTGTTGCATGATAGATCGATGAATATGAAAATCTCTAAGATCTTTTCATAATCCATCTCCAAACCTTTGTTTGTCAAAGTCATTGAATACGCAAAATAATGTGGCATCCATTGACCATTTATGCTGATACTTGTATCTGCCTGCATGTATATTAACTGGTCCTCACCATCAACCTGCATAGCAAACCAGCATCGGAAGTATTCCACTGGCAAATTACCAGTAAAATCATTGGAAGAAAGATCCAAAATTTGCAGTTTTGGGAATGACAAACTTGATCCAGGAGTCCCTATTTTACCATGAAGTCTATTACGCCGTAAACTGAGAATCTTCAACTCTGGGAGAGTTCCCATCCAGGATGGAAAAGTATCGATGAGATGATTGTCACTGAGATCAAGAAACTCCAGCATTTTACAACTGGCTATTGATGTCGGTATCTGCCCCTGCAACTTGTTTTTCCCCAATCTAAGCATCCTTAGTCTGCTCCCATTTGCCCATGTTAGTGGAATGGTGCCACAAAGGTTGTTACTTTCTAAATTCAATACAGAGAGAGTGCTACTAAAGTTGCCCAAACATTGAGGAAGCAAACCATTCAAGTTGTTTTCTGACAAATCAAGTACTTCAAGAGAACTGACTTTGCAAATTGATGGTGGGATATTCCCAGCCAATGAATTGTTTGAGACTGAATAATGAATGGTAGAGAATGGAGGAACTAGAAGTGAGCCTTGGAGCATGTTTGAACTGAGGTCTAAAACACGCAACTGAGACCATGGAAGAACAGCTGTTGGTTGATCAAGGCCTGTTAGAAAATTGTGAGAGAGGTCCAACAGTTCTAGTGTTTCTGTACTCATTGTCCACATCCAACTGGGAACTTTTCCGTGCAGATTGTTAGAGGATAAATCTAACCATGTCAATTTATTTTGTTTCTGCAAGAAGCGAGGGAAGTGATTTAGGCTGCATGATGCTAGTGATAAAACTTCAAGCTTTGGAAGTGTTCCATTGGTGCTAGTTTTGCTGTCAAAAACTAAGTTGCTAAAGGATAAGTCAAGTGTTCTTAACCTTTTCAGAGGAAGAAATGCGTCTAGGTTAACTGTGCCGCTCCAGTTGTTCAACCCAAATGACAGCTGAGTCAACTGAGTGAGGTTTGCAAACGTAGAAGGTATTTGGCCCCTGAAAGAGTTATTTCCAAGGACCAACACTGTAAGCCTGCTAAGATTGCCAAGTGAAAATGGGATCACTCCTGAGAAGTTGCAAGAATCGATAGCCAAAGCTTTCAAGGAACGGAGGTTTCCTATAGAGGCAGGTAAGTGACCGGTGAGATCTTGATTGCGCCCCACCTGAAGAGACAGAAGGTTTGGAAGTTGAAAGATTGTCTCTGGGAATTTTCCAAGCAGTCCAACATTAACGAGAGTGAGAAATTTCAATGAGGAGAAATTTGCAAATATATTAGGTATCGGGAATGGCATATCGACAGAACCAAGACCAAGAAATTCTAGGTTGGTTAAGTTTTGCACTAGGCTTCTCAGGTAAGGCATTTTAAGTTTCAAAAACCTTTCAGAAAATGGATTATAGTTGGAATACAGGGCAAGGTAAGTTAATCTGGACAGCTTGGAAATTTCTGAAGGAATATTGCCAAAAAATAAGGAGTTCGAGAGGTCGAGAGTTGTTAGCTCAGAAAGATTACCTAACGCAGAAGGTATCTGAGAACCATTGAAGTCATTGTTGGCGAGGTTGAGCTTTTGAAGGTGTACTAGGTGGAAGAGACTACTGTTGGAGCCTATCGAACCGTAGAGACAGCTAGCATTGAGGTTAAGGCCAATCACATGACCAGTATCCTCATCACACTTGACACCGTCCCATGAGCAGCAATCACTAACATTTCCTTCGAGCTTCCAAGACTCGACCTTGGGATTAGCAAAAGGGAATTTGCAAGCATATCCACTAATAATAAAGCTTTCCTTGAATTGCAACAGTGCTGAGCGCTCTTTTCTGTGGCATTTGGGATACACTGATGGAAAGGCAAACATGAATGGAAAAAGAGAGAACATCAAAAGCAAGGATGATATTGTGAGCCTCATTATTATTCAATGAACTGATATTTAAGTCAGAAAAGATGATTGTTGGTAAGGAACTCGGCCATTTCAATCTCATATTTATAGCACAACTTAGCGGTAGGAAAGCAACATGCACACTAGTCTTTAGAGCATATGCGGCTTCAATAATGCTTTGTCAATTCCTCTCAAAACAGCTATTGACTAAGGATTGCCGGTCTTGAAACCTCTACTTAATATTATCTTGTCTCTCGTTATCACTTTACCTTGAGAATTTGCTGCTCTGTGGTTGTAATTTCCACACCAAATATTGTTTGATCATAGATGGAAAGGGAAATTTGCCTACTGCCAAGAGTGTGAGAGAGGCAAGACTACAGTAAACAAGAAAATCCAAGTCGTTTTGTTGACAATTTTGTATAAGAAAGAAATCAAGTGGAGTGCAATTTCCGGATCAATCAAAGCCAAGTCCTTCTCTAATTAAAGAAAATCCAACCTGTTAACTGTAGAAAGAACAGAAGTTTCCAGCAGAAATGAGAAATCATTACATCCTGACAGCTGCTCCCACTTGAAGTGCCTTTTCATTTAGTTTGGTTTAAGTGTCATTCTTGTTATAGTTTCATTTCTGTTTAAGAGTCAAATAGTAACAACAAACAACTAAATAAAAATCAAGCATTTTTTTTCTGATTCAAACAAGTAAATGTTTTCAAAACCACTATGCAGATTTACCAATCACGAAGCTCCAAACTAAGAACTTTCCCGACTTCCATAGATATGCGATGAAAAATTAATTTTAAAGACCAAACAGTCAATTGTAAAAATCAGATAATTAAGTTCAAGCTCTCAAAAAGGCTTTAATTTTTAATTTTATAGAAGTTTTGTTGAGCTGTAGAGACTGATGTGGATGAAGACTTGCAGTATAAGATGATATAAAGATCCAGCATGATGGTCTCGCTTTGTTAGATTTCCAATGGATAATGGGATGAAACCAGAGAGAATGTTGTTGGAAAGGTTTGAGCAAACAAAGCCCCTTCAGATTCCCAATGAATTCTGGAATCTCTCATTCGAATTTGTTGCACGAGAGATCAAGGACTATGAAAATCTCTAAGATCTTTTCAAATTAGTTTTGGAATTTCTCCTGCCAATGAATTGTTGGAGACTGAATAGTAAATGGTGGAGAATGGTGGGATCGGAAGTGAGCCTTGGAGTATGTTAGAACCAATTTCTAAAACGCGCAAATGAGACCATGGAAGAACAGCTGGTGGTTGGTCAAGGCCTGTTAGATAGTTGTGAGAGAGGTCCAACAATTCCAGTGCTTCTGTGCTCATCTTCCAAATCCAACCAGGTATTTTTCCAGGAAGATTGCTGAGGAAGAGGTCTAGAAATCGTTGCACTTAGAAGGAAAAAAAAAAATCCGAGCACATTTTGTGGACAGTTCGATTCCAATTAACTGGTCCAAAAGGGACCTTGCTTAGTCTGTTTCCGTTGAAAGATCAAGCCTACTGAAGAAAAATACAAAATTGAAACAAGAGAAAAGAACTCAAAGACAGTAGAGCAATCTACATATCAAGGCCTGTCAACAGCAGAAGAAGCAGAATTTCCAGCTGCAACGAGAAATCATTACATCCTGACAGATTAGGCTTCAATCCTATCAGCGAAGGCTATCACATCACTTGTTATTGCTATTTAATCCCGTCTATTATGGCATTTTACCTATGCCTTGCGGCATTCTCGGCGTATCCCACTTTAGTCTTCAGGTCAAGTCTCCTATGTAGAACTCTGTCAGTCACTATTATCACATTGTAAGCAATTTCTCTGTAATTTCAACCTTGATTCCTACCAAGTCATAAAGAAAAAGGAAGGGATACCAAGATCACAAAGTTAGATTTGATCACTATCAAAGATATAAATTCCCAGTGCGTACTTGATAATTTGGAAAAGCAGAATTTATTAGTAATAGGACAAACCACCAAACGGCTTAGCCATTTTGTGGGTATTGTTTCTCCAATGGAATAAAAGCCCAAAGAAGCAGCCCAACACCTCTCAAAGCTTAGCGAAAGCCCAATAAAAATATAGGCCTGCCGAGAAGGAAAAAAATTTCAACAACTTAGGGCCTTTCCTTGCTTCCTTGCATGAAGACTTGGCTTTGATAGTTCCATAACAAATTATTTTCACACTATTGAATTTAGACTGATGAAACCTAATGCTTATTTATCATGATTTGTTTCATTTGTTTACAAATGTTTGTGTTTTGTATTTTGATAATTTTTTGCAAGAATTTATTGTTTGATCAGACACTGCTGCTTTGTGACTCTAATTGCACACCAAATACTAAACTTCTTCAACCTGTAAACAGTGGAAAAGGCAGAATTTCCAGGGAAACCATTGCAACCTGACAGATTCTGATATGGAGCTTTGCTCTATAACACAATCAGAAAGTTTTTGCTTTCTTTCAGAAGTGCATTTAACTCTGAATTCAACTTCCATAGCAGAACCCTTTCACTGGGATCATTTTAATTATTTATTTGAGATACCAAAAGGAAAGAAGATGCTGCTATATTTAGCAGAATCATCTGATGCAGCCACTCAAAAGGCCATAAACTAAGGTTTATTATTTTTTTTCCTATGCAGTGAACAATAGATAATAATGCTGCAACATTTTCAGCAAACATTAACATTTTGCGTTGGGAGCATTATTTTTCTAGGGCACAAGATGTTTCCTGTATCATTCCTACCCGACATCAGATGAGCTAAGCTCAACCACGGCGATTTATTAGCATTTTCTAATCAACGCAAGAAGTTTCATGTGCATGAGCTTATCGACAACATATGATACAGTTTGGCCATATCAAACCATACTCAGATTCTGTTTCAAACATGCTTGGATTATTCTTTTGCAAATGAAGGACTAAAAGAACAGTATGCCAACAGACCAAGTCTCTGAAACTCACTGAGAATATGAAACTACAGTAGATAGTAAGACGACGGGATTTGGACTTATATGTGTATCCTAACAGAAAACAAGACATCTGGATCAAAATGATTTCATTCTAATTCTATATTCAGGTTGAATGGAAGATTGCAGACTCTTTCAACACATACAGACATTATAGTAGCTAATATCTTTGAAGAGTAAGTCTTGAATTCCCGATCCATGCTTTATTTTTCACGCTTATCTGCGACTCGAAGTTCACTATAAATAAGAGATCTTGTTAACCATAACTTATCTCAAACTTACTTCAGTACTAGTTTATCAGTCTCTTGCTAACAGCTGTCGGAAGAATTCAAATGGCTAGTCGCATTTTGGTTATTGCCAGTTTTATAGCCATTGCCGTCGCCATCGTCACTGCCTTTGAGCCTAGTCCGTTGCAAGATTTCTGTGTTGCCGATCCAACTAGCTCAGGTCAGGATCTTACTAAATTTTACAGTAGCTTTTATTGCATGACAAGTGTTACATTTTTTTGCTTCTACTCTTTCCAAAACATTAATCAGTACATGTCAAATGTTTGGTTCATGTTTCTTACATGTTTTTTCTTTTTCATGTGGCAGCAAGAGTTAACGGTCTAGCTTGCTTGGACTCAAAGAAGGTACAAGCCAACCACTTCTCCTTCAGTGGCCTTCATATTCCAGGAAACACATCAAATGCCCTTGGCTCTGCACTTAAACCTGTCTTCGTAGCCCAATTACCCGGACTAAACACCCTTGGAATCTCGATGGCCCGCATTGACTATGCACCCTGGGGTCTAGTTCCTCCTCACTCACACCCCCGCGCAACTGAAATTCTTACAGTCTTGGAAGGCAGACTCCTTGTTGGCTTCGTGACCTCTAACCCTGAAAACAGGCTCATTACTAAGGTCCTTGAAAAGGGTGATGTGTTTGTGTTTCCTATTGGACTTGTTCACTTCCAGAGAAATGTTGGCCCTGGAAATGCTTTCTCTATCTCTTCCTTAAGCAGCCAAAACCCTGGTGTTATTCTCATTGCGAATACTCTATTTGGATCCTGATTTGAAGAAGATTTTGTCCTTTCCTACCAATTTATTCTTTGATAATTTGTTACCAATATATTTGTCTAGTTCTCATTAATTCTAATGTTTGATTATTTGTATAATTTATTTACAAAATGTTTGTACTAAGATTTCCATAAAGTTTGCAACAATTTCAAGTTTGATCATATTGTAACGTCTAACAGAATCATATCTGGAGCTGTTCAAGAATGTCTTTACCTTTCTAAGGAAAGTCTTCAAAAATTCCTTCCAGCCATATACTAATCTTACCATAATACAAATGAAAAAACACTAGACCAATCAGTCTTATCTGATTGAAGACAACTTCATTCCTCAAGTTCCTGTTAAGTCCAACTGGTGACAATGATTTCAGGCATTTGTTAAGATTTGATTTTAATGAATCTCGGCAGGCCCAAAACATATTGTTTCATGCATTTTGTAGTGAGTTGAGGTAGACCTAATTAAGTCTGTTGGATCGTTTACCACTCCTTTCTCCAGAATTATTCACAGTTATTTAATGTGGGTTTCATTTTTTTTTTTTTTTTTTTTGTTTTCTGATTTGGAAGAAGACATCCTCTGCATGAACTAATTGGTTCACTGGCCTATCCAGCTTGGAAAATTTGATAATATGACACAGTTTCACAATATGAAACCAAAATCGAATCCTGTTGAGCATGTCTTGTATTTCTGACATGGAACAGCTAGCTGATGATTTCATGGACCATATTGACCGACAGAAATCCAAGAAGATACCAGTGACTAATTTTGTTTCATTGCCAGAAAACTTCCTCAATAAAACTAGACAGACACAACGTGAATCATAAATTCTCCCAGTTTTGAATTACTCTAAACAGTAGGCCACTTGATAAATCTAGGCTGAATCATCTCAGCAGAACAGAACAACAGTAGGAAAAACATCAACATTTAGCAGTTGGAACCTTTTCACGACTTTTCTAGCCGCAAGAAGTTTCGTGTATTGTTTCTACCCAACATCAGAGAAAACACCTGTAGATAGAACCAAGTTCAACCGAACCTATGGGGATTTAGTAATATTTTCTAATCACTACTCCCATACTAGGCTCTTTCCCTGGTTCATCGAGCAAGACCTGCCTGTGAAAAATCCATTCTAGCAACATAATAAAGTTATTTCCATGCAGATTTAAATATTTTGGTCCAAGTGGGATGAGTTGAAATTATGCGAGAATTAAGAGTACATGAGATAATTGTTTATTCAAGTGTCAAAACATGCATGCTTTATTCTCCTCCCCAGTACCGACAACATATGATACAGTTTGACCACATCAAACCACACACCGATTCTGTTTCAGACAATAGCCTATGTCCAATACAAGGATGCCATGACCAGTAGCCCAGCATTATTTTTTTCATCTTCCACACAAGCTTAGATTCACATATGTACAAAACTTACACAACTGAGTTGATTGACCAAGTCTCTGAAACTCTCTAAGCATATGAAGCTATATAGACAGTGAGACAGCAAAATTTGGACTCATATGTGTAAAACATACCCCAATAAGATTTGGGAGAGTCTCATTATATATTGTGGATCCTAGCAGAAGATAAGACATTTGGATCAAAATGATTTAATTCTAGTTATATATTCCAGGTGAATGGAAGATGGCAGACTCTTTCAACACATACAGACATTGGATAGTGGCTAATATCTTCAAAGACCGATTCTTGAAGTCCTGATCCATACTTTACTTTCATGCTTATCTGCCACTCTACATCCACTATAAATAAGAGTTCTTTTAACCATAACTTTCATCAGTACTAGTTTATTAGTCTCTTTCCAACAGTACTCTTAAGGATCAAAATGGCTAATTGCGTTTTAGTTATTGCAAGTTTTGTAGCCGTTACCTTTGCCATGGTCACTGCCTTTGAGCCTAGTCCATTGCAAGATTTCTGCGTTGCCGATCTTACTAGCTCAGGTTAGGATCTTATTATTATACAGTAGCTTCAATTGTGCATGTGTCTGCTTCCGCTCTTTCCAAAACATTAATCAGTACATGTTACGGTTTAGTTCAAGTTTCTTACATGTATTTTCCTTTTCATATTGCAGCAAGAGTTAATGGTCTGGCTTGCTTGGACTCGAAGATGGTACATGCCAACCACTTTTCCTTCAGTGGTCTCCATATCCCAGGAAACACATCAAATCCCCTTGGCTCTGCAGTTAAACCAGTCTTTGTAGGCCAATTACGAGGACTGAACACCCTTGGAATCTCCATGGCCCGTATTGACTATGCATCCTGGGGTCTAGTTCCTCCTCACACACACCCCCGTGCAACTGAAATTCTTACAGTCTTGGAAGGCAAACTATTTGTTGGCTTTGTGACTTCTAACCCGGAAAACAGGCTCATTACTAAGGTCCTTGAGAAGGGTGATGTCTTTGTGTTTCCTATTGGACTTGTTCACTTCCAGAGAAATGTTGGCCATGGAAGTGCTTTCTCAATCTCTTCCTTAAGCAGCCAAAACCCTGGTGTTGTTCTCGTTGCTAATGCTCTATTTGGATCTACTCCAAGCATTCCAAATGATATTCTAGCCAAGGCTTTCCAGTTGGACAACTCTGTAGTTGAAAAACTTCAAGCTCAATTCTAGGCGATCAAGGATCCTGAATTGAAGAAGATTTTCTCTTCTTTTTTTTCAATTTGTTTGTCTAGTCCTCATTCGTTCTAATGTTTGATGATTTGTATCATTTGGTTACAAAATGTTTGTTCTTAGATTTCCATGAGGGTAAAAGAGGCACGAGTACAGTGATTAAAAAAAAAGAAAAGAAAGATCGATCAATTCCATTGAAGCCAAATGGAAAATAAACACAAGAGAATAAAACCCCAACTTATATTGCAATTTATGCTGTGACAAATTCAGAATCCTTACAATGATATGGCTAATAATAAATTCTTTAATAAGTACAAAACTTGTATAAAACATAAGAAAGAATTATTTAAATACAAAATTTTGTTTAAAAAAATATGTTTTTTTTTTCAGTTTTTGATTCGATATATTTTAATAGACCAATAATTTATTATAAACTATCAAATTAGAATGATTTTATTTTATTTTATCTGTAGCGTTGCGTAAATAATTTACTAGAAAATCAACATTTTTTATAATTATATTTTAGATGATATTACTTGTATTATTAAATTTATTTCTTCAATTTATCATTTCTTATAGACATTGTCATCTAATTAATTGTAATTTAAATTTTTTTAAAAAAAATTAATTATTGATAAATATGATTTAATGTTCTTAATTATGAATTTTTAAATAAAAATTTAAAATGTGATTATTTAAAAAATTATACCAAGAGATATGAGTGCAACCCCCCCCCCCAAAAAAAAAAAAAAGTCCATAAAGAGTAATTGCAAGTTGACAAGCCCGCAAAGTGGCGTGTGGTATAAAAAGACAAGAGTAAGAATCTCTAGAGAACATTGCAGCAACTTATTTTCTGCAGTAGAAACTAATTACAATTTTGAAGAGTTTTTCTGATATCAACAAGCTCAGCTTCCTCAATGGAAAGAGATCATGCAATATGACGTTCCTTTCATTACTACTTGATGCTTTTTGATCTGAGGAAATGAACCGGAATCCTTCACTTATATCCTTGATATTTTTAAGAGTTCTCCTGATATCATGAATTTCTGATGCTATTTCATGGCATGTTTGCAATTTCATAACCACAAATCCAGGTCGATCACGATGTTTTGCCATGTGAAGTAGTATTTGTCAATGACATCTCATCTTTGATTTAATTATTTAATATGAGATATGTTTTCTAATATAAGTTTATAAGAAAATAAAAAAATAACGATTAACTATTGAAAAAAATTATTTCTGTATTATACATGTATAAATCAGCAATTCGTCTGGCTAAAATGTTTTATTCAGTAAAATATTTAATGAAAATTGATCACCTTGTTGTTATGATAGGTAAAAAAAATTAAAGTTAGAACGGTAGAAAATACTTCTTCCTAATTCTTTATGGTTCTTGAAAACCGGACTTGGATGGTTGCTTAAAACAAGAGATAATTGCTGATAAAATTTCAAATTTCAAATTACAGGAGTATAATCTTAAGAGAAAATATGAATTTATGTAACAAATCACCAAGAACACAAAAATTAACAAAAAAGCATGATAATAGTAAAGTATGGAAAATGTTCTGAACGCACATGTAAAGCCAACGTACGTTCCTGTAAACTCACAATGGTTGCTTCAAACAAGAGATAATTGCTTTGAATCCTCCACCAACTTTTGTTCAAGATTAGAGTAGCTCGACCGGATGCAGCTAGCTAATGCAATATTGATGTTTCTCTGTGGATTGAATTTGTCTAAGTTAGAAGAAGAGATGAAGTGTTAGATCCGTTTTTGTTGCATTCCAAGCAATTCTGATTGATGGGGAAGCAATATTAGCAGAATCTCTTCCTATCTTCTGAAACAAGCCAAAATTTAATACCCTCATTTCCTTTTGCCCGAAGACAAAGAAGGATACCTTCTTTGGTCGAGTTGTAAACCGTTTTTAGGTGACAATTTTCTTGGAAACCAACTTTTGCACTTATTCCCTTACAGATAAAAGTAGCTGCATGGAATCAAAGCATAACGCGCTTTCGTGGGGAAAAAATATCTGACAAGCCTAGTTTCTAGTTTGCTATGTATCCACATGCCTTATGGGCCAATAAGGACCCAACTCTGATGAAGCTTTGGACTTGATATCAAAGCTTAGAACCAACCTTAAACATATCATATTGGACCCAGCATGAGCAGAACTTATTAGTTTTCTCATGCTTAAACATATCAATTGCACCATATATATAGATAAGACATGCATATAAACCCTCAAACTATTACGTCTATCTTAACTGAGTCCCTTACAAGTCGGTTGTCCTAATTGAATCTCCCACTTTTTTTTTTTTTTTTTTTTCCCAATTCATGACAATTTGGGAACAACCATTCTGCATTTCATGATGTAAAGATCAGTTTTACAAGTGTGTTTCGTAATGAATTAATGGATCTGCATAATGTCAATGTATATGAATTATCAAGTGGCATGCACTAAATACCGTAATGGTTAAGAACGTAAAAAGATTTCGGCTATTAGCATAAGAATTGCATGTCATCAAAAATATATATATATATATATATATATATATATATATATATCAAGCAAATGCCGGATGACTCTATTCATAGATGGTTACAGATAATTCCTAAGTCTAGTAGGAATTTCCAATGTCCAGCAATTTCCTAAGTCTAGTAAACCTTACTGTAATGAAGCTTTATTTTTTAGATTTTATCCAGAAAAGCATTTTCATATACTCCTCGTCAATTACAGTAACAAAAAATCCATTACATTTGACTAACCATGAAATCTTTCTGTTTTATAATCAGGGGAAAGTAAAGGCCAGCTGCATAAAGAAATGACAATCTTCACTGCATACACAGTACCAAATATATATATAAAAATACATAAAAGGGCATAGATTGATCTGTAGAGAGATTACCATAGGAGTAAAGAGAGGAAGCAACAATCTTATAGGCAGAGCCAAAAGACCAAGGCAAGCACCAAGAGAAAGAGAAATCTCCTTCACCAACTAATTAGCGTCTGAAGTTTTGATGAATAGTGTTTCACCAATTTCTCCTTATCTTCTTCTTTTCTAATAATATCCACTTGTTTCATCGCCTTTTTATCCGCCATTATTGGACTATCTTTAGTAAAGAAAGAAACTGGTTTTTGAAAGAACTTCATTGTGAAGGATACTGCATATCATGGGACCCTCCTTCATGTGAATTTGCCGAATATCATGGGACCCTGCTTCTGCTACAGAGGACAAGACTCAATGATCACTGATTTTGCCTCAAAATCGTCACAGGAGGTCCAAATTTGTAAGGTAGGTTATATAAGCCCATAGCTAATGTATCAGAAAACAACACATTTGTCATTAAGCCAAGATACTCAATGTTTGACATCCTTGCAAACTTCTCCAACCCAAATCAGAAAATTGATGAAAGATTGCTGTTTACTTTTCCTTTAGGATATGCCTTATATGCTTCCTAATTTGATGTACTAGAAGAAACAGTTTACAAGCTTAAGCCTTTTGCAGGACCATTTCTTTCGCAATTTGTTATACAGCAATGCTTATTCAAAAGCAAAAAGCTATTCAAACCAAAACATCTGTGATTTCCAACTTTAAATCCACATACACATCCTTTTGCCAATCTAAAAAACAACATGGTGGCCCACTACCCTAAATCAAAAGCTTCTTTTTTATACTTTACTTGCTCCACATCCTGATATATTTAGATAAACTTGCTTTAGAGGTTCTTTCCTTCAAAACACTTAAAGATGCTTCCACTCTCTCCTCCACCACCCTAGCCACTGCCCACAGAACCATCTCCACCATCAGAAAAAGCAGAGCTTTCCAGTCTCCCTTAGTATTAGTTTATTTGCATTCTTGGTACTAGGAGTGGCTTTCAAAGTTATGATTTCTGTCTCTGCTCTGTAGATGTAAATAATATTAACTTTATTCCTGCCCCATAATTCTTTCTACAACACATAGAACTTTAGTTAGAGGGTTAAAATGTTATGTGTCGAGCATATAGATCTGTACCAAACAATTTCAGAGCAGAAACAATCACCAAAGTATATCTCCTAATTTGCAGCAGAATAATTATAATCGATGAGAGAGTAAAAAACCCCCCTGGCTATATGAGCTAATTAAACCTTGTTTTTCCTTATATAATAAAGCAAGGAGTTGATCATCAGAAGCATCCAATTGAAGCAGTACTGAAGGAGCTCCATGAAGAGCTTAAGAGAGTCTCATATGCAACAAAAGGGTAGGCCACACATGAGGTAAAAGCAAAAATCTTAGCAAATGACCAGGAAGAGAAGAAGCAAATTGTATTTTTTGGCTTTTCTTGCTTCTTTTGCAGGTTTATACCTTGTGTTGCTCTTCTGGCACCAGGTAATTGGTTTTTTTGCCTCCTTGATGTTCTAATGTAAAACATTAGCTGAATCTGATTCATCCAGAAAAGACTTGTTATCTGCAGAATTTCCGGTGCTTTTCTAATCGCAACTAATTCAGCAAGATTGGAGTCCATCTCTCCCACATATATAAGAAAAAGATTGTCAAATCCAAAACCAAGAAGAAATGACATAATTCCAAGTCTATGTTCCTAGCCGAATGCATGTTATTATGTTAATAGGAATTCACCACTACAAGACTTGACAGGTAGCAGGAAGATGCTACGATTCATCAGAGGTAACTTCTTGCTAATATCGACTGGTTCATGTCCGCATTAGTCCTTGCTGGAGAATTCAACCTAACGATCTTTTACCATTCCAATTTAATTCAAACACAATTCATTGACTTGATTTCACACTCCCTATATATTGCCTTAGCTTTCTATCAAAATTAATTCCAGCTAATTTCTAGCAGCAGTAACAAGTAACAACTGCGTACACTGGCTTAATAGTTAATAGCATCAAGGAGAAATACATAAGTTGCTTGATGAGCAATTATTACAGGGAGATTCGTTCAAATCAAAGTGAAACCAATACAACACAACAAATATCAACAAAAGTGATGCTGAAAACAAGTTCCACTGCCTAAAATAATCACAACTGTACAACCACGCACACACAAATATATATATATATACACACACTGATGTCCAGAGTAATCACCACTTCAACAGTAGGTTAGTAGAGTTCCTCAAGCCATCCACATGTTCATGGTAATCATCAATGGAGGCTAGAGTTAATGGTCTAGCTGGCTTGGACTCGAAGACAGTACAAGCCAACCACTTTTCCTTCAGTGATCTCCAGGGAACACATCAAATCCCCTAGGCTCTGCTGTTAAACCAGTCTTTGTAGACCAATTACCAGGACTAAACACCCTTGGAATCTCGATGGCCCGCATTGACTATGCACCCTGGGGTCTAGTTCCTCCTCACACACACCCCTGAAATTCTTACAGTCTTGGAAGGCAAACTCGTTGTTGGCTTTGTGACTTCTAACCCTGAAAACAGGCTCATTTCTAAGGTCCTTGAAAAGGGTGATGTCTTTGTGTTTCCTATTGGACTTGTTCACTTCCAGAGAAATGTTGGCCATGGAAATGCTTAAGCAGCCAGCACCCTGGTGTTGTTCTCATTGCGAATGCTCTATTTGGATCTACTCCAAGCATTCCTAATGATATTCTAGCCAAGGCTTTCCAGTTGGACAACTCTGTAATTGAAAAACTTCAAGCTCAATTCTAGGCGAACAGGGATCCTGAATTGAAGAAGATTTTTCTCGTTTGTGTTTCTGATAAGGATAAGACTTAATAGTTAATATCCTTGTTTAACTCTACGTCATTAACATGGTTATCTCTGTAAAGTTTGTGCTCTACTAGCTAACTGAATTTTGTATACATATATACAATTACTGTAACACAATATAATACAAGAGGAGATCATTCAGTTCTACATGGTACCAGAGCCGATTTAGCTTAACAGCAAAAAATACCTCTCCTTCAACCTGCTACTAACATATACTACTATTGCAATCTTTTTTCTTTTCCCTTACCAAATCACACCAATCACACTTTACTGCCCACATTTCATTCATTCCACATTCCATTCAAATACTTTCCCTGACCTATACCATTCAAATCACGCCAATCACACTTTACTGCCCCCATTCCATTCATTCCACATTCCATTCAAATACTTTCATCCCAGCTCGCTACTGCCCAAATATACCTCTTTCACTGCTGCAAAATATGTTGGAAGAGGCTTTGATAATCTGAAATTCTGCTCACCCTATTTTTTTTCATATCATAAAGACTTACACAGATATATATAACAGCAACTTGACTCTTGAAAATACCAAAATACATTGAACATAAACTTCTCATAAAGTTTCACAAAATACTAAAAGACTTCTTAAATAAAACTCTAAAATCAAGTTTATTTTCCAACACTCCTCCTTAAACTTGAATTTTAGTTACACCAAGCCATGCTCTTAATCTGGAAAAATCTTCAAACTTCAATGCCTTGGTGAAAATATCAGCAACTTGGTCTTGAGACTTCACATATGTAAGCTGCACTTCCTCTCTGCTCATGCTTTCTCTGATAAAATGAAACCTGGTGTCAATATGCTTGCTCCTATCATGAAAAATAGGATTCCTGCTCAATGCTATTGCTGATTTATTATCAACAAAAATTTCCGTAGCTTCTTCCTGCGGCATATGTAATATTTCCAGTAACTTCCTTTCACAGATTCATCTAGTTTAACAAACAGATGCTTCTTACCCGTCATATGATTGCTTGCTCCTGTATCCAAAAACCATGCTTCATGATCCTTCTCTTCACCAGCAGCACACGTTAATAATAAAGCAGGTTCTTCATCTTCTTATCCTTTTGCACAAAAAACCTTCTCATCTTTGACAACTGCATTTTGACATTCTGAAGCATAATGCCCTATCTTCTCACAATTATAGCATCGCACATTAGCTTTAGCTACTCTTCTGGACCCATTTCCTCTACTATATCCCTTCGAGCCTCGTTTCTGATCTGAATGTGCAAACTCGGATGGTCTTTTTTCAAACCTTCCTCTTCCACGGCCACGATAACCACCATGAACAGGACCTCGGCTTCTACCTCTTCCTCTTCTTTCTTGCTCAGCTTCATTCCCTTCATCTTTTTCTTTCAAAGAAAGTTTAGAAAGAAGAACTTGAGCTTGTGGCTCTTTCTCATTCATCCTTTCTTCTCGAGCTTGCAAAGATCCCATGAGTTGATCAACTGACATATTTTCTATATCTTTTGATTCCTCAATAGCAACAACAACATATTCAAATTTTGAGTTAAGGGACCTTAAAATCTTCTCAACTACACGAACTTCTTCCAACCTTTCACCATATCTCCTTAATTGATTAACAACAGCCAACACTCTAGTGAAATAATCTGAAATTGATTCAGAATTTTTCATCTTGAGAGATTCAAACTCAGCCCTCAAGGTCTGAAGTCGGACCCTAATCACCTTATCAACTCCCTTAAAAGAATTCTGTAAAATCTCCCATGCTTGCTTGGCAGTGGAAGCACTCGAAACTTTCTCAAACATGATTTCATCCAAACACATATGAATTAGCGTCAAGGCCTGCTGATCTTTTTTTGCATCTTTTGCTAAGCCTCCTTCTCTGCTGGAGCCGATGCTTCTTCATCTCTAGGTTGCTCAACACCCTTTTCAACAATCTCCCATGCATCTTGTGATCCTAATAGAGCTTTCATCCGGATACATCAATTGTCATAATCTTCTTTGGTAAGTTTTGGGAATTGGAACATGCCTCCATTCATCATTTTTCTCTCTCTAAAAAAGAGCTTTGATACCACTTTGTTGGAAGACGCTTTGATAATCTAAAATTCTGCTCACCCTCTTTTTTTCATATCATAAAGACTTACACAGATATATATAACAGCAACTTGACTCTTGAAAATACCAAAATACATTGAACATAAACTTCTCATAAAGTTTCACAAAATACTAAAAGACTTCTTCAATAAAACTCTAAAATCAAGTTTATTTTTCCAACATAATATACCAGCCTGCTACTGCTCAAATCACGTACAAATCACGCCCAAAATACCTTGCCCTTTAAACCAACGGCTACTACCCCACATCCCTGACCTGGTACTTTAAGCCAACACCTACTTCCCTACTTCACCATGCCTACTACACAATCAGACACTGTCCTACTCCATCCGCTGCAGCCCTTGTTCTAACAGCCCTTCCATCAACACTGCCCCATTCATCCTTTCCAAGCTTTAACTCTCAAAACTTGATTAAGCTTACTCCCACTAATTTTATCCTTTGGCAAACCCAATTCTAACCATTCTTATGTTGTCATAGTCTCCTCCATCACATTGATGGCACCCAATCTCCACCTACTGCCAATATCTCTACAACTGACCATAATCCAGCCTATACTGTCTGGGAACGCCATGATCAGTTGGTCTTTTCCTGGATTGTTGGGTCACTATCGGAGGTAGTCCTCCCTCTTCTGGTTGGTGGACACACAGTAAAGGCAGCTTGGCTCAAACTCACTACTTCATTTGGTTTTGGAACACAAAATCAAATCAATCATCTCAAAAGCAACTTATACCATCTTGTTCAGCGACATTCCAAAACCATTCCTCCATACTTTTAGTGGGAAAAGTCCATTGATGATCTTCTTCATTCGCTTGGATCACCAATACCTGAAGATGACTTAGTTCAGGCCTTATTACGAGGTTTCAGTGCCTTCTATTAGCCTTTTGTTCACTCCATTGAGTCTAGACATGAGGCTATTCTTTATGAGGCTTTGTATGGCCTAGCCTTAAGTGAAGAATTTCAGCTACAAGATGGCTTCCAACCTGCTGAAATTCTGATTTTTGCTTATTATGCCACTCAACATCCTACTTACCGTGACCATGGTCGTCGTGGTGGAAGATCACCATCATTTAGTTCTCCCTAAAGGACTTTTATTCTTGCTACAGTACAGGCTGCATCTAGTCCAGTTACCTGCTTCAGTTGCAATGGCACTGGTCACCTTGCCAACATCTACCCATCTCCAAAATCACGTCTATGCAACCGTTCGTATAAACCCTCATCTCATCTCACCTTTTCCAACTCCTCTCCTAATACCTTTCAATGGATTATGGATACTAGCGTGACTCACCAAATGACAGCATAACTGGAAAACGTGGCCATTCACAATGAGTATCATGGTCCTAGAGAAGTGCAACTAACTAATGGTAAACACGTTCCCATTTCTCATAATGGTTTTTCATCATTTAATCTTTCTCATTGTTCTTTCAGTCTCAACAACATTTTACATGTTCCTGATAGTAGTCAAAAGTTATGATCTATCAACACTTTCACACAAAATAATTCCTATTCTCTTGAATTTTTCCCTAATAAATTTCTTATAAGGATTTGGCTACATAGGAAATTCTCAACGAAGGAACTCTTGACAACGGTCTCTACACCTTCTTCTTGGCCCAACCTCCGGGTCGTTCATGCTCTATTCAAGCTCACGAGTACTACTTTTGGGACTTGGCATGCTCTTTTTGGTCATCCCTCCTCCAAGACTGTCCAATGCGCCTTGAAGGATGCTAATTTATCTTTTTCTAAACCAAATTCCTCATTATGCCATGCCTATTCCATCAGCAAAATACATAACTTACTATTTCATGAATCTAGTTATGAGGCTAAGGTCTTGTTAGAATTAATTTGTTCTAATGTCCGGGGACCTTCTCATGTACCTTCAATTGATGGTTACTCGTATTATATCTTATTTTATGATCATTACAGCAAATATTGCTAGATCTTTTTTCTTTGTCACAAATCGAAGTCCTTAGTTGTTTTATTAAATTCATGCATGTTATGGAAAAAAATTTTGACAAAACAATTAAAGAATTTCAGTCTAATTAGGGAGGAAAATGCCAAGCCTTAACCAAATACCTCAAAAAAAAGGTATCTCCCAAAGAAGTGCATTTCCCAAAACACCAAAATAAAATGGGTATGCTCGAGCGAAAACATCATCATATAATTGAAACCGGCTTAGCTCGCTTAATCATGCATCTATCCCATTAACATTCTAGGCCTATGTCTTTGATACTCGTTGTTTATACCATTAACGTACTTCCCACACCCCTCATCCACAACAAGTCTCCGTATTTCATCTTTTTTGCCACGTTTCCTTGATGAAGCTTGTAGTTCATGATCACGTATTGATACAAAGCCATGCACCGGATCTTGCACCGGATTTTGTTCCTTTTGTTTTTGAATATTTTGTAATACAATTAATGAATGTACCGAAGTTTGAATGACTTGTGGTGGAACTTAATTTCAACTTTAGATAAGGTAACAAATTTCCTTAAATTATGAAAATTTGGTATTGACTTACTTTTTGTATCATTATTGTCGCTACCCGACGCTCTGGACGGGACTCCCATAGAAAAAATCTGAATGATATCACTAGTTTCGCATCTTTATTTTATTTATAAGACTATTTGCAGAGTTTGGAGTCGCCACCTAGTATCGAAGGAACTAGGAACCTAAAATTGGCACTCGGTTCGGAGATTCTATGGTAAGGAGTCGGTTACGCTTATGGGAAGATAATTAATCACCCAAAAGTGCCCTTTCCTAAGAAAGGTACAACGTGTAGCTTAGTCCTAAATTATCTCCTAAAGTATTTTATTTTTGCCAAATTATTTTTTTATTTTTGAGACTTCAATTT